GTATGCAACTTTCAACCTATCAATATAACACCGGTAATATCCCGAATAATGGAGAAAGTAGTTAAAGACCAAGTGTCAGACAACTTACTAGAACATGAACTTATCAATCCATCACAACACGGATTTCTTAAAAAAGATCATGTGTGACCTGTCACATAGACTTTTTCAACGAAGTTACACGAAGTAGGGACAACAGAGAACTAGTAATTGTACTATATTTCGATATAAGAAAAGCCTTCGACAGAGTTCCCCATAATCTGCTAGTCAGCAGGTTATGCTCACTAGGGATATGTGATCCTCTCCTGAGCTGGATAAAATCATTTCTCTGTGGCCGAAGTCAGACAACGAAAGTTGCCTCGATAATCTCAAGGCCTAAACCAGTAAGTAGTGGTGTGATCCAGGGAAGTGTATTAGGCCCGCTCTTATTCATAATATATATAAACAGTATCTGTGAATGCTTTAGTGTAGGTAAGCCAACACTATATGCAGATGACTTAAAAGTGGCGTATAAATGCAAGAACACAGATCTTGGAATAACAGTAAACGCCATACAGCAAGAATTAGAAAAAATAGATAGATGGTGTGACACCTGGCAACTCCAATTTAATGTCGAAAAATGTGGCTGGCTCTGCATAGGTTGCAACAATTTAGAACTTGACCTGACAATTCAAGGCCATGCACTTCAACGGCTGGAATCTGTACTGGACCTAGGGCTGAAATATTCACATAACTTATCTTTTTATGAACATATCTCCAAACAAGTGTCAAAGTCACGCAGACTTATCGGCTTTCTACTCAGGAACTTCTACGGAAATGAGTCTAGAATTCTGTTGTACAAGGTTTGTGTGTGTCCTTTATTTGATTACTGTTCATTCATGTATAGTAGCATACGCATAGAAGACAAATTGAAAGTCGAGGGAGTGCAGAGGTACTTCACGTTAAAATTACTCGGAACCGAAAATTGTGCGAACTACTCCACTAGATGTGATACCCTAGGACTAGAAACACTATGGCTAAGACGCCTGAGACTAAACTTAGCACTTTACTATAAGCTTCTAAACCAATTAGTTTTTACCTCTACTAATGGCACTCGACTTTCAGATGACAATGGCTACAAACTAAGACACACTAAGGGTACAGTAGCTATCGAACAATGTAAAACAGCCACCAAGCCAAAGTTTTACTTGATTAGGTATGCACAGATATGGAATAAACTGCCAATGGAAATGCGTCAAGCAAGTACATTGGCCTCCTTCAAAAAGGTGCTTAATGACAAACTACAAGAGTTTGCAAACGATAGTAGTTCTAGTTCCTATCTGAGAGCCTCAGAAATTATAGGTCCATTTAATGTATGAGCTTAAATACTACACCTGTTGTTTTTTGCCTATATTTATAATTCTAGATAAAACATTAACGGTTAAGATACGTATCCTCAAACAGACAAGAAATCTCGTTTGTAAAACTACTACCCAACACAAAATGTGGAATAAAATGGACATAAACCGACAACATGAAAAAGGTGTAACTCACCACAACATCACATGGACAGATGTACGCTCATTGGGCACCATATATTCCGCACCAACTGCAACCCACCTTTCCTTAGATAATGTGATGAACTTATATCCATAATGTTGCTGAGCAGTTAATATTCTCAACTCCTGTCGGAACAGCTGAATTTCATAAACCCTCCTCACGCAAAGAAAATACCCACAAGCAGTAGAAATCCATTAATTAATGCGTCTGAAGCTTATGTATTTGCTCCCAGCAATGACATTGCAGATCAGATGAGATAAACATATCACTGATTGCAAAATAACACATCAATGAACTATAATTCGAGGACTCTGCACACAACAAAGTTATGTATGAATATTTACTTCAAGCTTTATTTTTTTCCCAGGCACTTATAATCCATCCAACAAAGACCTGGTTTTTTTGTTAATGCGAAGACAATACTTCTGTATTTCCTGTTGTGTTGCACTCACTGACAATCTAGCAGATTTTTCCAGCTTTGCACAGAAATGATTGTATATAAGTGAAAAGGCTGTTTTATACTACTGGGATTAACATTTATCAAGTGTATGTATAATCTCCAGCGAACATGTAAGGCATATCTTGCTACTGCCTGTAAATTGTGATTGAATTATATGGTTCTATTTCTGTAACAATTTGATGATGCCTGTAAACTGGCGTCCCTCATGTACTGTACTATGAGAATAAATTTATTTATTTATTTAAATCTTTGTGACCAATGTACCCGTCTGCCTGTTCTTGTGACTCTTTCTGTTTTGTCAGCCAGAATATCACCATATTTTGAATCTTGAGAGCAGGAATCATTTTGTGGCGTAACTTTAGCTGATGCTGATGACTTGGGTAAACATTCAGTCACCTCTATTTCCATGAAAGCTGGTTTTACGCGATCGATACATATATTCTCGTGTTTCCTCCACATTCGACAGTCATGACTTTGTTTGTTCTTCCTATTACTTTAAATGGTCCGTCATAAGGTGGTTGAAGTGGTTTCCTTACACCGTCGTGTCGTATGAAAACATGAGTGCAATCGTCTAGTTTTTGAGGCATATATGCTTGGTTGAGCTGATGTCGCGGGAGATGATATCTTATAAGGCTCATGCGTTGTCTCAGTTGTTGTGCAAAAGTAGTTTCATCAGTTGGAACCTCAGTGGCTGGGTTGAAATATTCTACATGCAGTCGTAAAGTAGTTCCATAAATTAATTCTGCTGGGCAACATTCGACATCATGTTTTATTGTCGAACGTATTCCAAGAAGTACAAGAGGTAATTTGTCACTCCATTTATCATCATTCTTCACTGCCATCAATGATGCTTTCACCTGACTATGAGATCTCTCCACTAAGTCGTTTGAACTGGGATGATAAGCAGTAGTACGTATACGTTGGATTCCCAATAATTCTATCAGCTGTTGGAATAAATGGCTTTCGAATTGGGCGCCCCTGTCTGTAGTAATAATGCTGGACACTCCGAAGTTGGAAATCCAATTTTGTATAATGCTCTTTGCAACAGTTTCGGTAGCAATATCAGGTAAGAGCCTAGCTATTGGCCATCTGGTAAATGTGTCAATACATGTTAAGTAAAGCCATTAGATGTTGGTAACGGTCCAACGATGTCAGTGTGTATGTGTTGGAACCTGCCATCAGGTTCTAGAAAGTGGCCATAAGGTGAAACTGTATGTCATTATACTTTTGACTTTTGGCAGGCTAAACATGCTCTAGTTCACTGTTTAGTCTCACGATTCATATTCGGCCATATATATCGGTCACTTTTCAGTTTAACTGTCGCTCGGATGCCAGGTTGAGAAATGCCATGTATTCTGGAGAAAACTGATCTTCGCATTTCTAATGGGACAAAAGGATGTGGTTTACCATTGGTAACATCACACGTAATAGTTGGGCTTTCATCAAGCATGATATCTTGCAAACGTAGGGAAGTACTCGTGCTATTTTTAAGTCTTTTCAGATCCTCGTCCAAAGTTTGCAGTCTAGCCATCGATGCAAGCGATAATTAATATTTTAAAAACCTATAAATTTCTCCAATTTTGCTGTTTATCTTGAAGGACATTCAATAGCCAAATATTAGCTTTGGAAATGTAGTTTTAGGGCTTCAGAATCACAATGGAAGAAAATACATACTCATCATTTCTTCAGTCCGTTTACCCATAGTGGTGAAAATATTTCTTTGGCTGGTCAAGAGTAATTGAGGAAATATCATGAGTTATTGTAAAATGGGAGCTGTAGAAACTCGCAGCATAGGAAAAGACACTGGGGGAACGTACATAAATTAGATTTTAGAAATGACATGCAAATATTTATTGAAATAAACCATATGACGAAAGGCTGAAGAAATTAGGCCTATTCACACTCAGTTACCGTCGCCTGAGGGGGGATTTAATTACTGCCTACAAAATAACAAATGATCAGAATCACCCAAACAAAGGTGTTTTGCCATTGAGCAGGTATAGGCTTTCTCGTGGAAATCCTAGAAGGATAGCTCATCAGAGAACAAGGACCCGGGTGCGCCCCCACTTCTTTTCCCTGCGGGTTTGCCGTCCCTGGAATTCCTTACCGGCAGATGTAGCTATGGCACCATCTGTGGACGCCTTTAAGCGAAGGCTGGACAACCTTGCAGCAACACAAGGACTTCATCCAAATGGCCTATCCCCTTAAAATCGCATATACCATTCAAAGGTAGACAATTAAACTGGTCGTTTTACTTCTTCACATTCCCTTCAGTCTAACTCTCCTGACAGCTTTAACTACACCTATTATTATTACTGTTATTATCATTATTACTGGTATATATATATGTATATCGTTTGACTGACTGTTGTTACGTTTTCTTATTCTTTCTCTGTCTGTTAGTCTGAATACCTTTACTAATTATTATTTTTTCCTTCACGTTCCCCAGTGGAACACAGGGCTTCAAGCTAGTGGCTTGAAGTTTCTGAAGCAGTGTTTATTTTACAGGATGGGGTTGCTAGCCTCATGCCCAACCTTTCCTCTTTACCAGCTTTCATTTCTGGCTTAGCGAGGTGAAGGAGTGCGTTGGCGGCCGGGGATCGAACCCCGGACCATGTGCATGGTCGGCGAGCGTCCTAACCGCTACGCCACCGATGCACTTACTAATTATATCTATTATTATTATTATTACTATTATTATTATTATCTCTTTTCCATTGACGACGATACCGAAGGACTAACTGGTGAAAGGATCAACTCCATTTACAGTAGTAACAGTCTTAACACACTTCATACTTCAAACCCCATATAATTAACCCCAGCACTACTCCTGTTGGAGTCAACCAAAGCTACGACAGTCGAGTGGCGGGACGAGCTGCACAGACGTTTACCGAAGATCAGGCACCTCTACCTCACAATCAAGAGGCGAGCACAAAGAAATCAAATTGGTTTATACTAGCTCGTAAAAACGATATTGGATATTGGAACTTCGTATTCAAGGCCAGCGCTCTCACCCGTAGTTACAAACTTATGAGCTACTATGAACGCTCCAGCGTCTTTTGAACCTTTTCTTTTAGCGGATGGCGAAAAGAAGTGGGTTCCTTTTGACTTGCTTTTCATTCCTTTTAGGATTTCATTTGAAAAAGACACGCAAGTGCCCAATGCTGCTATCTTCACCCTGAACAGAGAGGATCATACAGTTGGAAATATGATAACGTGGTAAGTTTGTCGCTAGTTTTCTTCACACTTATGGTATATTCCATCAAGTGCTCGATAATGTTAAAGAATTTGACGAATAGGTTTCCCAGATGTTGTACATTTGAGTAAACTGCACAACTGCCTGGGTTGTTACGTGGCTGCTATTTGTTTTAAAGCTGTTGTGCCTCTGAGTAGACATTAAGAGCCTTACAGCTGGATTGGTTTTAAATGTAGATAGGTGTCCTGGGAGAATAAATTGTGAATGAAGGGCTTGCCAGAAAAGCTTATATCTCTTAAATGCTGCATTTTACAACGCAAGAATGCCAAGATATTAAAAGTACAACGCGGAAAAGTTATTCACAGATTGTTCCGTTATTTACTATATTATATTTGCATTTTTGTGCCACATTGGGCGGGTCAAACCAAACTACTGTACTACTGTGCAAAGATCCTTGATGAGGCTTATTCAGCCAAACAGCAGCGTACTTTCCAGTCCTACACTTGTAGTTTTAAAAGGAAACTGAATATTTCTAATATGCACCGGCACTTTTTGCTTATAATGTATTGGTGTTAAAAGGACTTTCTGCTTAAGAATTGTGATTCGTATTCCGTTTTGTGTTTTCGTCGTGGCTGCTATATGTGACATGAAATTCCCTAATTGTGTTTCTATGTTAATTTCTTACTACGAATACGGGTTGCCGATCTTACATACGTACTTTGTGATTTTGTGGAAGTCCATCTGGTAATTATATGTCGCCGTACATTTCTGTCCATTACAGCTCCTATGAATGGTTTTCCTTTGTGTGGCATTTTAGTTGTGATAACTTAAACCGTTACTCTTTTGTATAGAGTTCTACGCTGAAACTCAGTCAAATATCCTACATAATTTTTTGTTATTCAGGGGGAAGAGTAAGAATTTGCAAACATTAGTTCGTACATTACGTGGCCTCCTTGACTGCTGACGGATTCTTCAATAAAACACCCAAATCATTATACATAAGCTGTCATTTAAGCACCTACAGATGGGTGATCTGATCTTTTCTGATACCGCTAATATGCGTCTATGAACCAACAAAAAATAGTAGATAAACTGCTTTTTTGCAGTGATTCCAGTACTTCATGTAATATAAGGGAAAGAATCAGCGGAATTTGGAATTTATAGGTCTATTACTTGGCAAAATTAGGACGCTGGAAAAAACTGTGTGCAAAATAGGTATTGGCTCCTAGACATCTCATGCTGCTTCATGGCTTAACTGAAATATGGGATTTTTAGGTGCAAGACTCTCTGGCTGTGCATAAACCAGCGGTTCAGTAAATAGGCTCCGACCAAAAGCTGCTACCTTGATGTGGTGGTCGGGTTTGCATATCGCAATAACCCAACAAGCTATACTTGTGGAACTAATGTTCCTGCAGGTCCTGCCATGCCAGGAATATTGTTAGGATAGCGATTAGAATAAAAGCAGTCACCGGCATAGTGTAAGAATTTTTTTTACACTATGCTGGGGTCTGTGGACGAAGTTGTACTGCCAGGGAATGGGGATGTAATGGCAGTAAGGTGTTTCTTTTAGATGACCGGCACGCCAGCTATGCTGTCTCTCCATTCTGGAGAGAGGGTGTTAGGAAAGATCGGCCCCAAAAACTGCATATCCCGACTTACCCTACCGTTGTTCGTAGGCGGAGGTAAGCTAGGAATACAGAAGTAAACAAAAAAGTCAGTTCAAACAGGCCGTGTGTGACCGGCCTCAGGCAGTTGTCCCCTGGGCTCTGTGGTCACGCAACAGTAGTTATCTTTCTGTTTCAGGTACTCGAAGAATAAGTCAACTTCCACAGTGTGGGCGGTCAGGAAGTAACAACCGCGCACTCATTTCGAAAAGCACAGGAAGCCTCCCTGATCATCGTCCTCCTTTATCCCTGCCACTTTCATCATCTTGCTTCCCTACTACTGTCAGTACTATTTTGCAGGCTAGTCAGTCCTCTTCACTTCATTCTGCGACCACAAATAATGATGTAAGCTGCAAAAACACTCCCGAGAGCCTCTTATAGCCACGCCGCCAACTTCATATTGGTGCATTCGACGTCGGGGCCCTCTGTCAAATCGGATAATAGTCATCGCAAGCCAGAACTGTGGCAGTTCGTGCCATGGATGTATGTTGTGTTTCGGAGACAAATATAAAAGACTCGAGTGTGGTCCTTCGCCTAACCTCACCCGGCTAACAAGGTGAAAATGCGAAAATCACTCTAAGGGTCATTGATATAAGAATAAAACTTGGGCACTGTGGTAGAGTGTAATTCCATTATGGGTAAATTTTTATTTTGATAGAGTCTCACAGTGTTATACAGTAATATTTACTGATGACGTTTCGAGCACAAACTATTGCTCATAATCATATCAAGTTAATCACACGACTTCTTTCCTTCATTTATATACATGTGTGGAATCGATTAGATATTGGATTAAAATTCAATATGAGATAATGTACATTCAGAAATAATAGTACGAGTGTTATTAATCCATTGCAATTAGATGGGAAATACGACGAGTGTTTTTATAGTCATAATAAGTTGATTGTTAGAATGTGTTTGAATAGAAATAGATTATTTATTATCCTCTTCTGATTTGACTGGTGGCAATAATACGAGTGTTATTAATCCATTGCGATTAGATGGGAAATACGACGAGTGTTTTTTTTTTACAGTCATAATAAGTTGATTGTTAGAATGTTATGATGTGCTTGAATGGAAATAGAATTTTAAGACTATTTATCATCTTCTTCTGATTTGACTGGCGGCAATAATATCTTCCATATTTCTGGTATTTGCATTGAGTCACTTCTGTTGCATGTGTTGGGTGTAGATTCAATGAACAAAGATTCAGTAATCAACCTCTCTCTCCACCTACCTAGATTACTTTTTAGAATTTTAACCCTCTCCCACCCTATTGTGTGGTTGTGTGTTAATGCATGCATTGCGATTGCCGAGCTTTTTTCTGAATTACTTATCTTCTCTGGGTCAACCATTCTTATCTTAGCTAAATTCTTATGTTCTGACAATCTGACTACCCCTGACCTACTAGTTTGACCTATGTAGTTGACCTCACAGTCATTGCAGGGTATTTTGTAAATTATATTATTTTGTCTAATTGGGTCCACTGGGTCCTTTAACCTACAGAGCTTGTCCCTGAGTGAGTTTGTAGGTTTAAGTGCCACCCTAATTCCTGCTTTATTAAGAATCCTACGTAGGGTCTCAGATGTCCTTTCTTTATATGGTATAACTGTAGATGACTTATATTCTCTCTTATTTATTTTATTACTACTAGTTTCACAATTCTTTTTATTTTTCTTTTGGCGTTTTTCAATCTCCCTAATGAATTTTAGAGGATAGTTATTTAAAACCAACGCCTCTTCTATCTGTTTTATTTCATCATTAAGGTCTTTTTTGTGCTACTTAGTACCATTGCTCGGTTTGTTAAACATTTAACTAAGCCTGCCTTAACAGTTACAGGATGAGATGAATTAAAGTCTAAATATCTATTAGAATGCGTTGGTTTTCTATAAACACTAGTGTGTAGTTTGCCTTCTTCTATTCGTTTTATTTTACAATCTAACATAGCTAATTCTCCTTGCTCATTTTCGGTTTCAAATGTGAATTTTATTCCCTCCACTAGTGAGTTTATGTGTGTCAAGAAGCTAGAGATATGTTCTGTTTTTAACACTGTGAAAGTGTCATCCACATATCTCCACCATATTTTTGGAGTAGGATTAAATGTATTAAGTGCCATATTTTCCCAGCTATCCATAAATATATCTGCCACGATAGGGGATATTGGTGATCCCATTGCTACACCTTCAGTTTGTCTATATATTTTGCCTTGGAATTTAAATATAGTAGATGTGAGGCATAGCTGAATCCCTAAAATAATTTCCTCAATGGACAGCTTTGCCCTATGATTGAGTTCAGTATCCGCAGTTAGTTCTTTTCTAACTGTTTCTAAGGCCATATTGACTGGTATATTAGTGTAAAGACTGGTTATATCATTTGTTTCATCATTATCTAGTTGTATGTCATTTAGTTTATTTTTCATCTCATATGAGTTAGTTAGTCTAGAATTTGAACGATCTCTAATGGGGCATAATATTAAAGCTAAATGTTTTGATAATTCATATGTAGGGGTATTTCTAAAATCTACTATTGGTCTTATGGGATAACCTGGCTTATGTATTTTAATAGTACCATACATCCTACTAGCATTATTAGTTTTAGGCATTAAATTAAACCATTTTGACTCACCCAGTGACGGCTTCATTCTGCGTACTAATTCCGTTGTGGATTTTTTAACCTTATTCATTATTGTATCTACGGGCTTCTTGATTTCCTCATATGGACCCATTTCAATATGTTCAGTGACCTTCTTGATGTAGTCAGATTTATTCAAAACTACGGTGGCGTTTCCTTTGTCAGCTTTTGCGATGACAATATTTTTATCCTGTTTTAGATTAATTAAAGCTTCTCTTTCCGATTTTGTCAAGTTTGATTTTGCCTTTTGATTTTTTAGGGTTAATGCACATTGTGCTCTAACCTCTTCTGCTGTTGTTTTATCTATTGAACCTAGTGCTACTTCTATGTTAGGAATGACATCCTCTGGTTTTAGTTTATTAACTGTTACGTTGAAATTTAGTCCTTTAAGGGTGGCAGGAGACTCCTTAGCTAGTTCTCGGGGACTCGCAGATGTAGGGATAGCATTGAATGTTAGGGAAGAACAATCACTTCTTGACTGGATCCCAGCAGATAGTTGTATGTGTGCGGTCCGTCTGAACGGGTCCGTCAGAAGGAGGAAGGACGGCAATACCCGTCGTTGACTTTTCATAGTCTCCGCTTACCCCCCAGCCAACTGCAGTTTAGGTGAACTAAGGAGTGATTCTACCAGAAAATGTCTAGATTGCTGCGAAAAGCGAAACACTCAGATATAGTTGTTTAAGCAGGTGACTTCAATGCCCAAATAGGGAAGTTGTGCCAGACTGAGAAGTCTGTAGGTGGTACGTATGGAGTTCTCTGCCGATAAATCGACAACGGTAATCGTTTTTCACAGTTTTGTTCAGATAATCACCTTTTCCTAGTCACCACTAACTTTAGGCACAAAGAGAGACATTGCCTAACCTGGCGACCTCCATCACCAAATCTCTGTTGGACTCAAGTAGGCCACATAGTGATAGGGTGTCGTTGGCGAGGGCCAGTAGAAGACTGCCGCTCCTGGAACACGTGCGTAGACTCCGTTCACACCCTGGTTCGCGCACGTTTATGCTTATGACTTAATGGACATAAAAAATTGTTGGCAGCAAAGCAGTTACGTCCCCAACTAGATCGAGACTGTGAGTCCCTATTTAAGAAGGAAATGACGAAACGAGTATCTGAGGTCGATAGCAGGACTTCCCCTGAGGTAGCCTGGTGCAACATACAGTAGGCTGCAAACACAGCTGTAAAAGCTGTTAATAACCTAAAACCAAAAGTTAGTAATAGCTATTGGATTTCTACCACCTTATCCGAACTCTTTCCGGTAAGGAGGAAAAATCAATTGACGAAGTTGTGAAGTTACACCGATTGAGTTGGTGGGGATGTGTTTTACTCATGCCTAGGATCGCCTTCCTCGACGGGCAATGTTAGCCGACATAGGATGGATCAGGTTGGAAAAGAGCTAATTGTGGTCAAACCGAAACATGCCTTGATTAGTCAATGAAATCCACAACAGTTAGTTTGAGGTAGTCACGTAAGAAGGTGTAAACTTCTTGGCTGGTTGGGGTCCTCGAGATGGTAAAAACCAATGACGGCTGCAAATAATTGGTGATGTGGCTGAAAATCGTCCTCAATGGCTGGCGCAGATGCATTCACTTTTTATGATCTGTTATATCCAACAAAACTCAGCATTGTTTTTTTTCCAGCTTAGCTAAAGAAAGTTTGAGTTTACCCTTGTTTGAGGTGAACTATTTCTGAATTCTTCTTCGACATTTTCTGTCACTCTATTGTGGATCATAGCAATCTTTTTCATCACTCTTCTATTAATTTCACAGTAAAGGTCTCAGTACAACTTTATTCGATCTATCGTATTTATTACGATACCGAGGCATTAACCTTGTTCCAGAACTTGCTGGTTGGGGTCCTCGGGACGGTAAAAACCAGTGGTTGGAAACAATTGGCTCAAAATCGTTCTCAATGGCGCAGATGCATCCACTCCTTGTGACTTATGATTTCAAATTAAACTATATCGTACTTCGTTATTACTATACCTTTGTCTCACACCTCTGTTTGCTGTCTATATTATGCATTTCTCCTACGTTCTTCTCCTGCTTTGTGTGCTACATGGAGTGTGGCGACTTGAACTGCCGCACATCGGTGCAAAGTTCTATGTCGAAAACAGACAGACAGACAAACAACCTTGTTCCAGTATAAATATTATGCATGCATGCATTCATCATAAAAAAAATGCGAAACAACTTATGTGATTTTTCAAGTCCTAGCCTGCTGACTGACTAAGTCTTAACAAATAAATTTGTGCAGAAAAGTGTAGCAGTTCCACTAACTACTCTCCATGTAACACAAAAAAAGAAGACGAAAGAGAGAAAAAGTGTTCCGAAAGAGCTATTGTAAGCAGAAATGTGTGTGTGTGTGTGTGGGGGGGGGGAGAATGACAGGCTAGTGAACATGGGGGATCATAGAAAGTGAATGCAGCCACTGAGAACTATTTTCAGCCGTATCACCAATAGTTTGCAGTCATTTGTTCTTAGCATCTCCAGGTGGAGGGTCTGCATCCCCCCTATATGGCTCAAATGGACTGTCAGACACTTTATAAACTAGGAAGTAAGAAGCACTCACAGACGGTAGTAAGTGTATTACATTAGCTTTCCTAAGAATTCAAGACACAAATCAATGTTATAAGTTTCCAAACCATAGATGTCACGAATTTCCTGGAATAATTTTAGCACCGAGTCAGATTGAATCATTATAAATTATTTTAAATGATCCTAGCGTGTTTAAGAAAAAAATCAAAACAATATCTGTTATCTGAACGATTCGCTGTGTAAGCTACAGCTTCTTCAGCAGAATTATTCGGATTCTACTAATCATCCCTATGTTCGTTCACTCTGATCTGAAGTGGTAGAGCACGTTGACCGCTTCAATTACTTGGGAAGTACCATCAGCCCCAACAGGTTGATCTCAGACGAAATATCAGCACGAATACAGAGGGCTAGGTTCGCATTCGCCAGTCTACGCCGTCTCTGGCGTAGACGCGATATCCGACTATCGATCAAAGGGCGTGTGTACTGCTCAACAGTCCGCTCCGTCCTCCTTTATGGCTGTGAGACCTGGCCATTGAGAGCAGAAGACATGAAAAGATTAGCTGTCTTCGATCATAGGTGTCTGCGTTCCATCTCCCGCGTGAAGTGGTATAATAAGGTGAGCAATATTGAGGTTAGGCGTCGAGTGCTAGGTAAGGAGGGAAATCAATCGATGAGACTGTGAAATTACATCGACTGAGATGGTTGGGACATGTGTTACGTATGCCTAGTCATCGGCTTCCTCGACGGGCAATGTTAGCTGATATAGGGCCAGGCTGGAAAAGAGCTAGCGGCGGTCAAACGAAAACATGGCACCAGTCAATGAAATCCACAACAGTTAGTCTAAGCCACGTAGGAAGATGCAGACTTCCTGGTTGGGGTCCTCGGGATGGTAAAAACCAATGGATGGAAACAATTGGTGACATGGCTCAAAATCGTTCTCAATGGCGTAGATGCATCCACTCCTTGTGAATTATGATTTCCGATGAAACTGTTTTGTTCTCCGTTATTACTATTCCTTTTGTCTCACACCTCTGTTTACTGTCTATATTATGCATTTCTCCTACTTTCTTCTCTTGCTTTGTGTGCTACATGGAGTGTGGCGACTTGAACTGCCGCACATCGGTGCAAAGTTCTATGTCGAAAACAGACAGATCTTCACCTACCTGTCTACTGCTCTCCCTTGCATAGCAAGCTTCACATTCTGAACATTTTAACCTATAAACACAATTACTTTGTGATATTTTGGGAACCATATCTTTGACATTTTACCAAAGCTTTCTCTAGAGAATTAGAGAGTTTGAAATAGACTTTAATATCATATGAAGCAAGTGGTCTTTGAAGTTGTTCAGCTGTCTCCTTTCGATGTGGAATGGCTATCGTCGACAGCCAAGATTTTTCAATATTTTCTTGTTTTCCCTTCTCGTCCTTTTTATTGATAATATTATCTGGTAGCTTTTCCGGATAACCATTTCCAATCAAAATGTTTTATATTGGATATCTCGTTCTCTATATCATCATTATCTGTTATAATGATTCTGGCTCTGTTAACGAAATTTGAAGCTACTGAAACTCATTTTTATGGGGTAATCTGATTGGAAGTTCAAATACTTGTTGGAGTGTGTTGGTTTCTTGTATATTGTGAACTTAAGTTTCTCATCAGTTTGTCTTTTTACAAGACAATCAAGAAAGTTTAGAGTTCCTTCATTCGATTCTACTTCATTCGGTCGGTCGGTCGGTGCTTTTGGAAGTGTGTGGGCGGTTGTTACTTGCCGGCCGCCCACAGCGTGGAAGTTGGTTGAGTCTTCGGGTACCTGAAATAGAGAAAAGGTTAGTGTTGCGTGACCGCAGAGCCCAGGGGACAGCTGCTTGAGACCGGTCACACGTGGCCTGTTTTTGTTTGTTCTTTTTCATTTGGTGTGTCTCAGTAGCATATTTATCACTTCTGCCCTGTGACACAGCAGCAGGAAGCGCCGTCGTTGTTAATCCAGGCCCCGACCGATACGGCATGATATTTTGTGAATTTGTTTGAATCATAGTATTGGATTGGGTAGTTGCTTTTTGTCTAACCGCTATCCAAACAACCTTTCTGGCATGGTAGGACCTACAGGAACATAAGTTCCAGCCAGCGTTGCTCGTTGGGTCATTGCGATATGCAAGCCTGACCACCACGTCAAGGTAGCAGCTATCGGCCGGGACTCTACTTCATTAGTAAGCTCTATATATTCTGAGATTAAGTTAGTCTGTTTTCTTTTTCAGCTTTCTTCATGATGATAAATGTGTCATCTAAATATCTGTAGTATATTCTAGGATGACAACTAAAACTTGTCAGTGCTTTTCTTTCCAGAGCTTTCATGTACGAGTTCGCCACAATTGGAGATGCTGGTGATCCCGTTGTAACTCCATTTGTCTGACGGTATAGTTTGTCTTTAAAGGTAAAGTGGGTAGATTCTAAACAAAGTTTTAAGCATTTCACAACGTCTTCTATTGATAGTGATGGGTACAAATCCCACTCGGCTATAATGGCAGCAAAATAAATTTGTATGAGCTATTTTAGTTGATAATCGTTCTCTAACCTGATTATTATACAAATTTTTAACAACAAAATCCAAATTTTCAGCTGGTGTATAATTCATCTCAAATTATTATTTTATTATTTTTGTTCTCCTGATGTAGTCAACTTCTCAAAGATCCGAGAGTATTATTTGCCGGATATAAAGCACCTCATCCTCTAGAGCACAAAATAGTTATTCGAGTACATACAGCTCATCCAGCAACACCTGTGGACGTTTTTGTATCTGCTTTGAAAGATCTTATCAGTGAAATTTCAAATATAGAAGAGCAGTTTAGAGTAAGCAACTGTACTTTTGTTTAATTAAAATCCTTTACTTTTTTGTAGATGGCAACAAAATGATGGAGACAGAGAGTGACTGTACATATATTTTTATATTTGTAACAATACATTGCTTTCTTTACTCATATGTTTCTCTTTTTTTATTTGTCTTGTCTCAGAAACAGTTAATATTTAAGCATGAAGACAAACCTTTCTCTTTCGATTTTAGAGTTTTGGTTAAATTGTGAACTTTCAACCGTTACATTTCTGTTCTAGGCACCAATCTACCTGTTAAGGTCTGAACAGCTAAGTTGTATAGTTAGCTCCCTCCGTCTACATATCAAGGGTAGTCTGTGGCCTAGTACTTTCTTTACGTGATGTCTGGTTATCGACCAAAGGGTGTGTGTACTGCTCAACAGTGCACTCCTTCCTCCCGTGTGACTATAAGATGGCCATTGAGAGTGGATTTTAAGAGAAGCATGGCTAGCTGTCTTTGATCATAGGTGCCTGTGTTCTATCACCCGTGTGAAGTGGTATAACAGGGTGCGCAATATTGAGGTTAGGCATTGATCGAGTTTTAGGTAAAAAGAGGAAATCAATAGACGAGACTGTGAAGTTACATCGACTGAGATGGCTAGGACATGTGTCACGTATGCTTAGTCATCGATCACCTTCCTCAACGGGCAATGTTAGCTGACATAGGATGGATCAGGTTGGAAAAGAGCTAATTAATGGTGGTCAGACCAAAACATGGTTTCATCGGCCAATGAAATCCACAACAGTTAGTTTTAGCCAGTCACGTAGGAAGGTGTAGACTTCCTGGTTGCGGTCATCGGGACGGTAAAAACCAATGACGGCTGGAGACAATTGGTGCTATGGCTGAAAATCGTTCTCAACGGCAGGCGCAGATGCATCCACTCCTTGTGACTTATAATTTTCAATGAAACTATATTGTTCTTCGGTATTACTATCCTTTTTGAATTTCTGTTTACTTTCTTCCCTCACTTTGTGTGCTATATGGAGTTTAGCGACTCGAACTGCTGGACACCGGTGCAAAGTTCTATGTTGAAACCAGTCAGTCAGCCAGTCACTTGCTTTAATCTATTGTTTTCCTGTTTAATTCGATTGACTTTTATGGTACTCTCTTAAGGCGCTGTGGTTCTCCAAATTGCATAGTTGTTATTCTAGGCTGTGTTCTGAATAACAGTTTATTACTTTGTTCTTTTGGCACTTTATGCAGTTTGTCGTTCTGATGACTTTAATTCTGAATCTATGTTCCGGAAACTTCGGATTGTCTCCGTTAAACTAAAACTAATCAAGTATATATTGTTCTCAAGTTTTTTTTTCGGTTGGCGATCACATTACTGACGCGATTAATAGGGTTCGATCAACACTTCAAAATAGATTACACAGTATTAGCTACTATCCAGATACTATGAAGCTCATACAGAAGACATACAGATTCAAAGTGCGTCGGTGGCACAGCGGTTAGGACTCTCGCCGACCATGCACATGGTCCGAGGTTCGATCCCCCGCCGACGCACACCTGATATCTATGGTAGGTCTGTTAAATTTGGGCTACCGATATCACATGCTGAAAATTTCATACTTGCACCAAAATGATGTGTGGAATCAAGCTATAATAAAATTAAAAAGAGAAGTTACTACAGTATTTAACGCGTAAAGAAGGTTGTATATAGTGATCACACATAACAGTGAAGATAAATTGTCATAATATCACACAGAAGAGTTTTAAACAAGTAGGTGGATGTTATTGAAAGATATATACCCTATAGGTGTGACTTATTACTTCAGGATCACAGCAACATAGCACTATTATTATTTATTTATTTATTCCTTCACGTTCTCATTGGAACATAGGGCTTCAAGCTAGAGGCTTGAAGTTTCTGTAACAGTGGTGTTTATTTTTACGCGATAGGGTTGCTAGCCTCATGCCCAACCTTTCCTCTTTACCAGCTTTTATTTCTGGCTTAGCTGGGTGAAGGAGTGCGTTGGCGGCCGGGGATCGAACCCCGGACCATGTGCATGGTCGGTGAGCTTCCTAACCGCTGTGCCACCGACGCACAGCATAGCACTGCATAGTGACTATGTTACATGACATTCAAATCCACATATCTTTTGGGATAAGAACAAAACGTGAACACTGTGGCTGAGGATAATTTCACTGGCCTATTGCCGAATTTCCCATTTCTTGGTCTTGGTTAGTTTTCTTTTCAAAATGATGATAATTAGTGTGAGTTGACCGGTTACACTAAAGTCTTAACGTCTATTTTACACTTTATGCAGAGAAATACTTCCCAGCGGTTTGATAGTCATTTACGAAATGCACTATGAAACATCTGTTTGTTTTCGACATGGAACTTTGCACCGATGTGCGGCAGTTCAAGTCGCCACACTCCATTTAGCACACAAAGCAAGAGAAGAAAGCCTGTCTGTCTGGATTTAACATAGAACTTGGTACCGAAGTGCAGCAGTTCGAGTTGCCACGTTCCAAATAGCACACAAAGGTAGACTAGAAAATGAGTGAAGAGAATCAATAGAGTTTTGACAAGTATAGGAGTGAAACAGAATGAGTAATGGTAGAAAGGAGTATGAAGGTTAAAGAGACTGAATACATCTGCGTAAGCCGTTGACAACGATTTTGAGCCATGTCACCTATTGTCTCCAGCCATTGATTCTTAGAGTCCCGAGGGCGGGCCCCAACCCGGAAGTCTGCATTTCCCTACCTGACTTAGTTTAACTGTCAAGGATTTCATGGATTGATTGATGCCATGTTTTTGTTTGGCCACCACTTACTCTTTCCCAACCTGCACCTATATCAGCTAGTAATGCCCGTTGCGGAAGGCGATGGTTAGGCATGCGCAGCACGTGACCTAGCCATCTCAATGTATGTAACTTTATAGCCTCTTCGATTGATTTTCCCTGTTTGCCCAACACTCTACGCCTGACGTCAACATTACTTACCTTATTATACTGTAACAACAGAAGACAAGGGCCAGGCAACAGAACGTTTATTACGGAAAATCAACACGTATTTATAGATTTTGATGCACATTATTGTAGGTTAATGTTAGTAGAAAATACAGTCTGTTGATTGGTTGTTTCTCACACAAAGTTAACCTTGAATCTATTGTGGCTGTGTCAGTTCATCTATATATTATCTGTATCCGCCTGTCCATCTTGACCTTCGACCTCCATTACTGTCAACCAATTTGGCTAGCAACCATCTCTCACCACACTCGTCCCCCCGTCAAAGACTTGCGACTGAAGTTGTTCCGGTCTTCTCGGTTCTTGGGGCTTTGCTCTTTTGTCTTGCTGTCTGGAATCTCGGCGCTTGCGGATGTTCACTTGTTTCTCTGCGTTTACCATTGCGATTGTGTCTGCGTAACCCCATCTCAACGTGACCATATATGGTCCTTCCCACTCTGGAAACTGTTTGCCTGACCCTGTCGCACATTCGTAGGTATTTCGCCTCACACTTCCATATGCTGCTTTCTCCCGACCTCCCAGCAGCGTCCCAAGTAGCAGCCTCATCGCTGATAGATCTTGAACGCCACTCAACTGCGAAGAAGCCTCAAAGTCCTGCCCGAAGATCCATATGTCTCCATCATAAACTGCAGGGCATAGGCTTTCCATTTGTCGGTAAGCAGCGACACCAAATGTAACAACAGAAGACAAGGGCCAGGCAACAGAACGTTTATTACGGAAAATGAACACGTATTTATAGATTTTGATGCACATTATTGTAGGTTAATGTTAGTAGAAAATACAGTCTGTTGATTGGTTGTTTCTCACACAAAGTTAACCTTGAATCTATTGTGGCTGTGTCAGTTCATCTATATATTATCTGTATCCGCCTGTCCATCTTGACCTTCGACCTCCATTACTGTCAACCAATTTGGCTAGCAACCATCTCTCACCACAATACCACCAAACGTGAGAAAGAGGTCGTAGACACCTATGATCAAAAACAGTCAGCCTTTTCATGTCTTCAACTCGTATTGACCATGTTTCAGAGCCACAGAGAAGGACAGAGCGAACTGCTGAGCAGTACACACGTCCCTTGATTGATAGCCGGATGTCACGCCTACGCCAGAGATGGTGTAAGTTAGCGAAAGCAGCTCGAGCTTTTTGGATCGGTGCTGAGATTTCGTCACCAATCAATCCGTTGGTGCTGATACAACTTCCCAAATAGGTGAAATGGTCAACATGTTCCATCACTTCACTCCCTATCACTAAGCTAGGAGTTGACGTAGTCCAGTCCTGTAGCAGCATCTTACATTTTACAGGGAGAGAAGAAATGCATAATAGAGACAGTAAACAGAGGTGTGAGACAAAGGAATAGTAATAACGAAGTACGATATAGTTTAATTTGAAATCATAAGTCACAAGGAGTGGATGCATCTGCGCCATTGAGAACAATTTTAAGCCATGTCACCAAATGTTTCCAGACATTGGTGTTTACCGTCCCGTGGACCCCAATCAGGAAGTCTACACCTTTCTACGTGGCTTAAACTAACTGTTGTGAATTCCATTGACTGTTGAAGCCATGTTTAGGTCTGACCACCATTAGCTCTTTTCCAACCTGATCCATCCTATGTCAGCTAACATTGCCCGTCGAGGAAGGTGATCGATGACTAAGCATACGTGACACATGTCCTAACCATCTCAGTCAATGTAACTTCACAGTCTCGTCTATTGATTTCCCTCCTTACCTAGAACTCGACCAATGCCTAACCTCAATATTGCTCACCCTATTGTACCGCTTCACACGGGAAATAGAATAGATCCCGATGTCAAATCGAGAATCGGGAAGGCAGACGAGAAACACATTCATCAACCTGAAACCAATCTGGAAATCTTCGTCACTCAGCCAGTATCAACAACAAAATTCGGATTTTCAATACAAACGTCAAGTCAGTCAGTTCTTCTTTACGGATCAGAAACTTGGAGGGTCACGAAGAATATTTCCAACAGCCTGTTGCAGACATTTATCAACAACTGTCTTCGCTCTATACTGAAGATCAGATGGCCGGCCGGAAAGAATCACCAACAAGAAACTATTGGAACAAACAACACAAGAACCAATCGCCCAACAAATATGCAGGAGAAAGTGTCGATGGATTGGACACTCGCTGAGGAGGCAGCTGGGTGACATCGCGCGTCAGGCCATAGCTCGAGTGGAACCCGAAAGGGATGCGGCGAGTGTGACGTCCAAGGGTGACATGGAGGA